GATCATTATAATTAAGCATAAAGTCACAAATTACAAAGTCATATTTTGCTGGATCCTAGAGTTCTGAATTATTCATTCCATTTGCTGCTTGTAGATGAGTTTATCCAAAAATTTCCAGCTTATTGTTGCTGTTTTTTATTTTGAACAATTAAGGCAGAAAAGAAAAGGAAGGACTTTGTAAAATAGATCTTAGAGTTTCTATACTTTTTGGTACGTATGCGTCCTCATCCAGGCACCAATTTTCTCCCAGGAGTTCTTGATGTTATTTCTCTATAAACGTTGATGTGCTCAGTATATTCCAGCAAACCCTCCCTGTTTCTTTTTGGACCTTAAGTTATTAACCAAAGCCACTTATTGATATGCTACTTTTTTTTCAGTCAGGTAGCAAATCAATAAATTAAAGATTAGTTCTGTGAGTCAGTTCTCCTCGAACATTTGGGGCCTCTCTCTCTCCTCGGGTGAATGAGGGGGCTGGATGGGGTAGTAAAGGGCTTTCGGGTCAGACTTTTTTAACTGTCACCTCTTGTACTAATTACTGAGTTTCAAATTATTTTAGATGAGAAAAATTGAGCATTCAAGTGTTATTAATTAAAATTACTTTGTAAACATCCTATTTTATGTTATTCTATCAGGCTCAGACCTAGTTTTAAGTTATCCTAAGTAATTTAACTATTCTTTCGGGAGATAATTTGTTATTACATAAAACAAGCCCACTACCACACCCCCCTCCTTTTTTTTTTCTAATTGTAGTTGGATCTTTATTTTATTTATTTATTTTTATGCAGTGCTGAGAATCGAATCCAGTGCCTCGCACATGCTAGGTAAGCGCTCTACCGCTGAGCCACAACTCCAGCCCCCTCCAGTATCCCTATTTTTACAGCCATGTAGGGGGGATATGTGAGTGCCACACTGGATGCCATCAGTCTTATCTCTTGGACTTGGTGCAGTCTGTGTACTCTGATATCCTTCTGTAGACCTTCCTCACAGCCATTGTGGAGGACTCGCCTCTCCAGGGAGAGTGTTGTAATTCAAAACCTCATGACATTGTATTGAACCACATTTGGAGTTTCTATTCCCAAATATTTGATATTACCTTCATTTTTACTTAAGAGCAGGTAGATGTCTCATCAGAAATATTTTGTGGGGATGAAAAAGAAAAGATTAGCCATAGGAAGTGAGAATTTGTAGTCACAGAAGAACAGTGTTTAGGACCAGGGGTTGTGGCTCAGCGGTAGAGTGCTCCCCTGGCACGTGCAGGGCCCTGGGTTCGATCCTCAACACCACATAAACATAAAATAAAGGTATTGTGTCCAACTACATCTAAAAAATAAATATTAAAAAAGAACATTGTCTAGTAATCAGATTTAATATGTTTTAGTGGCTAGTTTTGACTGACAGGTTTGCAGAAGACAGTGCTGGAACATGTTTGATCACGCCGTACATTTATGGGTCTAGAGAACATGGTCAGAACAAGTTCTATTCCAAAGAAACAGAAAGTCAAAATAATAGGAAAACTACTACGGCAAATGGGGAAAATGCAAGCTCTGATACACTGCTGGTGGGAATGACAACTGGTGTAATCCTTCTGAAAGGCGATTTGACAACTATAGAAAATCTGTATAATAGCCTAATCCCAATGACTCAGCAATATGACTTAAAAGACTTAAAGGAACTCATTCTTTATTTAAGCAAAGATAAAAGGATGTTCAGCACAATTTGGCTACTGACAGAAAATACTGGAAACAAATCTCCAACAACAGGGATGATAAAATAACTAGGTAAATTCATTGTGTGGCATTTTATATGTCCATTGAAAATCATGCTTAGAAGATTATTTAATAATATAGGAAAATGTGTGACAAATTAAGGGCTGTTTATAGAATAATATGCCCAGTATAATTCTATTTTAGAGTATACAACCCAAGAATATTTATGCATATAAAACCAGATTGGAAATATATGCATCAAAATGGTAAGTGGTTATCTCTGGGTAAAGGCTTATGACTGATTTAATTTTCCTTCTTCGTACTTCCTTTACTTTGTAAGTTTTCTAAAATAAACATGTATTCTATTTGCAGTTGGGGAAGATTTTGGTTTAGTAAATCTTGAGAATCAAGGGGAGGGAAAGCATCACTCACGCCGTATATGGTGTGCATATATATTTGTGTGTATATATATATATATCCACTACAAGAATTCCTATTAACAAAGAGACATTCGCATTTGCAAAGGAGCTCATACAGGCTGCTAAAATCTGATCTGTGTATGTACACATGGAACCAGTGGTCTGAAAACCCAATGATCTTTATGTAAAAAGGCATATGCAAAATTAATAGCCCATATAATTTTCTCATTGCACAGATATACTTAAACTTTTTTTTTTTTAAAAGAAATCTTGGGTTGATAAAAGTAATGAAAAGTAGTGAAAATGTGGTACTTTTTAGACAGGACAATTATGAATCAGTCTCCCCAAGCCCACCTGGCTGAGCATTCTTGTTAGGAGAGCTGTCAGGATTTCTGGGTGGTCTCCAAATGTGTCTGTTGTCTGTGGGGACAGAGATTGCCCTCAAGAATGTGAGCTGGGAGAAAATGGGAGTTGTCCCTGTTCCTCTTGTGTTTGCCTGCTCAGTTGCATAGCCCTGTGTCCTAATAATAACTGGACAAACACTGGTTCACTCCAATACATACAATAACATGAAATAATTGTAAAAGTAACTGGAAACTTTTTTTTTTTTAATTTTAGCTTGGTAACAAGAGACTATCAACCCGGATAAAAGGGCATGTCCTCCTATCGGCTCTGCTCTCCCAGGATGCACAGGGTGATTTTCCTAAGAGGTCAAACAGGGTAAAATACTGTCTCCCCTATCCTCAACGTGGCCTTGAGTTTGCTTGGTAAACCTATTATCATTGAACGGTGGCTGCACATGCTTCTTGCCTGGCTGCTTTGTGAACTTGGCATTGGGGCCGCAGCTGCTTCTAAACACCTATTTTCAAATCTGGTTCATTTACAGGAATTGGGATTAACCTTCTCATCGGCAAAGCCAAGAGGCCCTGGGACCTTTCAGAGAGCCTGCACACCTCTTCTTCGCCGAGTCTTTTGCAATACACTCTTGTTCACTGGTCTATGGGAGATTCTCTGTGAGAGGCAGGAGCTGCTGAAGGTTTTCTGAGGACAAGTGCCCTCCCTCAAAGTGTGCACCTCAGAAATTCAACAATGAATTTACTTCAGCTCAAAGACTTGTCTCTCTCTCAGCAAAATACTTGGAGTCACTTTTAGGGAATTTACTTGAAATCATGTGCTACATTTTACTTGCTTGTTCTAATTCTTCTCTACTGATTAATTAAAAGACTATTAAGAATTCTACCAGTTTGGCCAAGGGTAAGTGAACAGAAGCAGCCTACCCTTTATTGATTTTTTTTGGTACAGACATATCCTCTCCTCATTCTTTCTATTACTTCCACGGGTCAGGTTGAATCTATCAGACTCACAGCTGGGGAACCCAGCTTTTCAAGGGGCACTCATGAGTGTCAGCGTTTGTAAAGGGGCTAGCATCCATCTCAGAACTTAATATCTAATTGACAGGAACATTTGTAGTGATGCAGCAATAGAGCAATCGGCGAGTACAGAGACATCATCTTGGGGCTTAATGGGAGGTGCTGGGGTCCTAGGGTTCCATCCTCATGAGCTCATTAATGCTGTTATAAAAATATCGAGCAGGAGGGGGCGCTCTCTCTGCTGCTCTTCTGCATGTGGACAACACTCAGTGTCCTTCTGTCCTACGCCCTTCTGCTTTGAGCCAGGTGAGGATACATTGGAAAGCCCACACCTTGACCTTGGACTTCCCAGCCTCCAGAATGGCGAGAATGTTTCTGTTCTTTATAAATCACTGTGATAGCAGCGCACAACGAACCCAGGTACTGGGTGAGGGTTTTCATCATTGGATAACTGTGTTTGATTTCATATATTTTTGGGCCTTGATTAGCATTTTCAATTTTTGCTTCCATTTATCTTTTTTTTTTTCCCTCAATGTGATGATATTGTGCCTGACTCCGTGGTGGCATGTTTTAGGAGCACTGGGAAACCAGGGCATTTGTACTCTACTTACTACTTCTTATAAAGAACTTTCAAAACTATACATTCTTACTCCATCAACTGAATCATTTTTTTCCATGTCTCTTTAATTTTTCCAGTTCCTGTGGCTCCTTCCCAAAGACATGCAAACCCTCCTAGGTCTCTTCTGTTATTATTTTGATTCCTTTGTTGGTGAGATAATGCCATCCCTCACTCCAGCCCACCCTAGCCCTAGTTCTTGAGTCTTCTGCCCTGGCGTGGTCTCTTTCTACCTTCCAGTCACTCTTCAAAATCTGCAACATTCTGGATTTTGCTCTCACAAAACTCCTGACTCATGACGTTGGTTCCTCAGGTGCCCCCAACTGCTCCTGTTCAGTTTTTAGCCTGTGGACCTCTCTTTACCTCTGTCCTGTTTAATGAATCTACTTCCTGGTTGTCCAAGATGCCTTTTTCTCCCAGTTCCACATTTCTGACTGCTGTCTACTTCAGTTCTGTATGATCTGGTGTGGGCTCTTTGATCTTTCTCTCTTGTCACTTTTTAGTCTGTACCTATACGAGGTAATAGCATTTAGTGACTTCATGTTGCCCAGAAGGGAAGCCCCAACTCCTTAGGCTGATATTCAAGGTCATTCATAGTCTTGTCTGACACACCTGGACAGCCATGCCTCCTCCCCACCGTCCTGTGACTACTGCATTTAGTGTGGCCAGTCTTCTGGTAGTGACTGGCCCCATTCTTGGGTACATCTGCCTCTGCACCTTCAGCCATGTCATTCTGCACCACAGTTTGTGACTCAACAAATATAAGCTGAATAAATGAATAGAATATCTGCTCAACTATCTGACAGGTTTCTTTTCACCCTTCCTGATGTGGTTTTTAATCTTTCATCTCCACAAAGACTTTCTTGATCATTTCCTGGAAGCCATCTCTCCTCCTTTGAGCTCTTGTGGCATTTGTTTCTGTATATCAGTCCTAGGCTACTTTGTATGTTTTTATAATCTTTCCAACAACTGCCACACCATCTCTACCTATCAGGTGCAGAGTGGATGAAAGTCTTAGTACAGCCTTAAAAACTTGGGGAACTCTGTGCCCAAGCAAAAAAAAAAAGTAAACAAGAAGTTAAAACCCCCTACCTAATAAATGTTTAGTGAGCTCAAACAAAAACAGAGTGATTTCTAATTTATTTTAATACTGTAGAAATGTTCTTAGAACCCATATAGAGCAGATGAGTATCAGGATCTGACAAAGGAGTTGTAGGATATTAGAGTCAAAGCAAATAAGTTTTAAGAGATTAGGGTATTCCCCCTATATTAGCAACGTATGCTTTTTTGATATTATCTGCCAGTTCAACAATGTCTTTCATAATTTGTCATTTCTAACTCATCATCAGGTTACTCTACTGTATTTGGCTAGTGGAGCCTTACTGCATTTGTAGATGGTATGGCTGGATTAAACAGTAAAAAATCACATTTGACTGCTATATGATAAGCGTGGGTATTAAAAGATGTCGCCACTTTCAGTATCATTTCATTCTGTACCAATGTATATGTAATTATGGCTGTTACTGACCTTATTTATCTCTATAACATGAATGTGACAACTCTTGAACAGAATTTTCTGCTTCTTAGTAGTAAGATACATTTTTGAACTTTTTATTTATTTTTATTTTTATTTAAATATATATATATATATATTTAGTTGGAGTTAGACACAATACCTTTAGTTTATTTATTTTTATGTGGTGCTGAGGATCAAACCCAGGGCTCACACTTGCTAGGCAAGTGTTCTGTCGCTGAGCCACAACCCCAGCCCCCAAACTTTTTATTTTTAATTAACACATAATAATTGTGCATTTAAAAGTTTTTTTTAACCTTTTTTTTTTTTTTGGGGGGTATTGGAGATTAAACACAGGAACACTCAATCACTGAGCCACATCCCCAGTCCTTTTAAAATTTTGAGATAGATCTCCCTAGGTTGCTTAGGACCTTGTTAAGTTTCTGAGGTGGGTTTTGAATTGTGATCCTCTTGCCTCAGCATCCTGAGTTGCTGAGATTATCTGCTTGTGCCCTTGTGCCTGGCAAATTTTTATTTATTTATTTTTTGAGGTATGAGGAATTGATCTCAAGCCTTCATGTATGCTAGGCAAATGTTCTACCACTGAGCCACAACCTCAGTCCATAATTGTATGTATTTATGGAGTTCAATGTGATGCTTGGATACGTTGTGGGTTAAATCATGCATCTTAGCATATCTATTACTTATTTCTTTGTGGTGAGAGTATATACAATCCTCTCTTATTGCTATTTAAAAAAAAAATGAAATGTATCGACTGAGTCACACTTCTAAAAATCTTTGGGTTAACTAAATTTTCATTGCAAATGTAATTGGGCTGTGAGTTGGTCCAAAGCCACAAATGAGCTCTCATAGACATATGTGAAGTGGGGTCCCCTGTCTGCGATTGAGACCTGGAGTGAATGAATATAGGAGCATTTTGGAAGAACTGAGAAGATGTTTTTAAACATTGGACTTCAGCTAGATTTCTGATGACCACTAACAAAGAAAAACCTGCTAATGAGTAGGCCACTTGTGTAATTTTTTTGTACTTAAAGTAAAATGTATAATGTCAGGCAACTATCCATGACTTACTCTAGGGAAAGGGAACAGCTAATGATCAGTCTTCTGTTTACAATTAAGGTCTGATTCCTTCTCCTAATTTTGGTTGACTTGCTATTGGTCCTCTGCACTCCTAATAGGCCTTGTGGATTCTACATAGATTTCGGCTTTGACTCCCAATTACCATGCAATTAAAGGAACTCCAAATGCTGCCCTTTAATTTTGTTTATGTTCCTTTTCTCTGGGCTCTTATTCTGCAGGCTACTTTTAGTTACCATATCAGTTCTTTATAATTCCCTATTTGTTGTTAATGATGCACTCCACCAATTTTCCTATATAGCCCTTCTTAAGAAAAACAACTTAAGAAAAAATCGCCAAAATACCTGCATAAACTTGGTAGAAATGAGTGGTAGGAGAATGAACTAAACCAAGAGAATAATGGCATAAGAATATGGGTTGATCTCCAGCCCTGGACTGATGGGCAAGTAGAATAACTTGGTTTCTTTGTGCTTCACCTCCTATATTTATTTATTTAGTGGTATTAAATAAATTGGGATTGAGCCCAGGGGTGCTTTATGTCTGAGCTATATCTCCAGTTCTTTTTAAATTTTTTAAAAAAATTTTGAGGCAGGATCTATGTTGCTGAAGTCTTTGCTAAGTTATCTGGACTGGCCTTGAATTTGTGATCCTCCTGCCTCCGTCTCCCCAGTCGCTGGGATTACTGGCATGCACCACCAGGCCTGGCTTACCTCCTAGATTTAACTGAAGACTTGGACTCTTCCTTTGTTTTCGAAGGTAGAATCCTGTTTTGTGTATTCTTTGGAGTCCCAGTGTTAACTTAATATGTCTTTAAACAATGAATAGTCAAGTCCTGTCCTTTCACCATTAGGGTCAAAGTCCTGAAGTTATTTATAAAAACTTTCCATTGCAAGGTCAGAGTCTCTGAGCCTTCTCAGGGAATAGCTGGCGAAGCTGAAATGGGAGAAAATTAGGGCAGATTCCCCATGGCAAGCTGGCCACAAAAATACATTCTAACACTGACCTTCAAGGGATCATGTCCCAACCTCCCACAAAGAATCCTTCAGTGACTACGTCAGACTTTTTCTGAAACCAGTCTGAAAAGCAACTTCAGTACTGGGGATTTCAGGAAGGGAGAACAGGTGGTACCTGGTGAGGCTTCTCAAATCACCCTTGGTCTCCTCCAGCTCCACAGAGAGGTGGCCCTGGACCCCAATATCCTCCAAGGTCTGGGCGGCTAGAGTAAGAAGCCAGGGTGCAGAGCTCCTAATGAAGATCAGTTCAGCACAGTCAGCAGTAATCACCAGCAGGCCTGACCAAAAGTGCTGAGTGACTTCTCTTTCTGCCTTCTCTTGATGACTCAGAACGGTAGAGGGGAAGAGTCACTGATACGGGTTACCCCTAACCATAAATAATTGAAAGAATATGTAATGCAAATTCCAATCTATTTCATTTCCTAACAACCCCACTTCAACAGCACATTGTTCAGCTGCCGGTAAATGGAGTGGAATTGGCGTTGACAAGAGGGGTTTCTCCTGATTGTGCTTGAATTGCCCACCGAGTTGCAGAAGTGCTTTCCGGTGCAAAACAAAGAAATCAGCAAAAGCAGGCAGTTGTTTTGAGCTACCCCACTTTTCCCTTCCCTTCCTGATGAAGCAGCTAATGAAATGTGAAGTGGTCTGAAGAGCTGTGGGCAGAGGAATGACTGAGTGGAATAATGGAGAGAGGGGTGTTGCCACAGAAGTGAGTCCAGACTTCTCCGTGACAGCGTCAAACAAACTTCCAGGCTGGGGATGAGTGGAGAGCAAGGCTCAGGACCTGAGAAGGAAGGAAAATAGCTTGCTTAGGGAAGGCATCTTTCCATTTCTGGTGTCTTCTGAGATTTAAAAGCAAAACCTTTCCAAATCAGATAAGAGTCCATGCAACTGTGAAGCTGTTTAAAAACATGAACTCAAGAACAAAATGAAAAACTCCCAAGTTGAGAAATAAAAAAAGAGAAAACAAATTAAATAGGAACCCACAATTTTTTTCTTTCTCCCAAGTGAGTTAATATAAAAACTATTGCCATAGGCTATTATTCTCCTCTTCCTCTTTACCGCTCCATCCCATGCAGGAATTCTTCAAAGATCTGAGAGAGGGGACATGACAAGTTGAAAAGAAAGCAGAAGTAGCTTTGGTCTCTAAAACCTCCCCAGGGAGAACTTAGAAGAGTTGGGATGGAGGTAAGAGTTTGTTGGGGTAGGATTGGACTAGAAGATTCTCTTGGGCCATGGAGTGGAGGGGACAGCCAGGGGAAGGGATGAGAGAGATGTTGGTGCTAGACACAAGGGAGGGTGGTGGCGACACTGCTGGCTACAGAGACCACACACAGCTTTGCAGAGGCTGTTGTGCCACAAGGTGGCACCCAAAGAACAAAGGGTTCCTGTGTCCCTGCTAGAGAGGCAGCATCTGTGGAGAGAGCCGGGGGCCGAGGGGCCATGGAGGAACACAGAGCAGACACTCACTCCATGGCCTCCTGTGAAGACCACACATTTTAGCACTGTGTGCGGCTCCTCACACTTAAATACAGCCCTGGGGAAAGAGGGTAGATTCCAAATTGGCTGCCTCTGATTTTCTACCACCCTAGAAGAATATGGTATCAATAGAGAAATTAAGTGAGTTAATATAAAAACAAAGAGTTAGCAAAATGAAGCGTTATGAACCATGATTTGTACCTGCCATATGAATGGAACCAGATTGGGGTTTTTTAAGCTTCTAAAGGAAGGGTTGCAATCCCTGGAACTGGAGGAGTGCCATTTTGAGGCAAAGGCCAGGACCCAGGTAGGGAATGGGAGGGCAGAGATGAGCTGGACTCTTGGAAATAATCATGGAGTTTGGAAATAGGGGTGAACCATAAAGAACTGTGTTTTAAAAAGTGTCAGACTGTTTTAACCCCTGGGGACAGGCCCAGGAAAAGGAAGGAGGAGAGCAGGGATTGTGGTTGGTCGAACCCAGAAGGACTATGCCTTGCTTGGACCCAGAGAAGAGACTCACTTGATTCTTAGGAGACTCTTCTTGGAAGGAAAGGAGAAGTGAACTGAGTGATTCCAGCTCTGATCCTGATAGGACTAGTGGGAAGGGCAGTTGATCCTCACCTAATACTCCTCAGGCTTTGTGGGGAGGTGGGGGGATAGCACCTTTTCACAGCTGGTCCCACACATCTATAATTAGGCACATATCTTGCTGCAGTTTCTGGGCACCTGGGGACATTGTTCTTAGGAGCAGAGAGAACTCTGCAGCATACTGCCCAGGTTCAGAAAGGCAATGTTTTGCAGAGTTCCAAGAGTTTGGGGAAACACAATTTCCCTTCTTTGTGCTTTTCTTGTAGGAAAAATAATAAAGGAGAACTAGAGTTGAGAATGACAGATCTAAGTTAAGACTAAGGTGAGAGCAGACCAGAGTGTGTGACTTTCTTGACTCATGAGAATCGAGAATCAGGTGAGAATTTCTCAGGAGCCCATCCAGCCTCATCTGGGTCACCTACCCTGGGGAACCCACTCCCCCACCCACCACAAGGCTCATCTAACATTGGTGGGAATTCTACCAAACAGCCGTGAAGTTTTTGCCTGTGGCCAGACTCCCTCTGGTGGATGGGTCTGTAAATGCGGAAAGAATAGTCCTGGGGCTCCTACATTAGCAACCTCTAGATAAATGGAAGAAGAACTTGCTTTCCAAAAGGAACCCCCTCCTTGAGCCTGGGGAAGGTGGCCTCCACACTACCACAGAAAATTTTGCTTACGAAAATTTCTGTTATGGAAAACTGAATTTGAAACAGAACCCAGTTTTCTGGGGAACCAGGAGGAAGTCTAAATTTCCTCTGTGGGAATACAGACATTTATCAGAACAGTGTGGTCAGAGAATAATTCTGCATCAATGTTCATTTCTCTCTCTCTCCATATTTCCCACTCAGGCCGTCCGACACCATCTTCTGTAGACCCTGGTCTTTGGTTTGTATGTTCCCAAAGCCTAAATCGAGGCTGAATCTATCATGAGCCAATATCCCCGAGTGACCAACAGAGGCTGAGAGGGGAGACGGTTTCCTCCAAGAGGTTAGTAAAGGGCTCCCCTGGGTTTGTTGGGAAGGAAGAAACGGAAGTGAAAAAAGAGGATATCTATTTTATTTGGGGAGTGAGTCTCTTCAGAGACTCGGAAGGGAAGAATGAAAGACACCTTCATCTTTTACACCTTCTCTTGATGTGTGACGTGGTGTTGGAACAGGTGCATCTTTGGGCTCAAGTTCTCAGGGGTCCAGTTGGGTCCAGCTTGGCCATGACAGCATCTGTGTACTGTCATGAGTGACTCTGGTCTCACGAGGGTGGGTTTCCAGTTTATGTTTTGAGTGATCACAATTCCTTTGGTTTCGGGAATTTCAAGAATAGTTCCCTTTTGCTTTCTACCACTTAGCTAGAAGGTTCTAAGTGAAATCAAAGAGAAGCAGAAGAGCAGATGGGTTCCCCTTACTCTTTCTACTTGCTTACTACGTGATGTCTGCGTTCAACACCCCAAAAACGACTACTGAAGGTCTCCTGGTACATCAGGCATTGTTGGGTGCTGGAAGTCAGGTAGCAGCCTGTCACTGTGATGGAGAAGACAGGCAGGAAATCAGAAATTCACAGAACAGCGCGTGACAAGGGCTATGGCTGATTTGTATGCTGGCGGGAGAGGGACATATGATTCAGCCTTTTGGGATCTGGGAGGACTTCCCAGGTAGAGAAACTTCTCAGCTGTTTTTACTATTTTTTTTTTTTAAGGAGGTGAATTTTGTAAAAGAATCATGGAGATATCGACCTAGCAAGCTGACATCAGTGAGAGACTGAATCAATTCCTGGAATTTCCTATCAGTCTTCTTGTCATTTGAGATAATTAAATGTGTTTATTGCTTGGACAATGTTAGAATTTCTGTAGCTTTTAGTTAAAAGCAGTCCTGACTGATATAATCCTTGTGAAGTCAATTTTCTTATTAAAGCATGTTGTAGAGATAGTTGAAGTTCTGTATTATTTTTTGGCTATAATTATCATTCTTTTTTATTTGCATTGTGATTTATTTAAGGAGAAAGAGAAGTGGTTTTGCAGTTCCAGGAACATTGGAACACACTTTTCCTTCCTTCCTTTCTCCCTCCCTCCCTTCATTCTTTTCCTCCTTATTTCCTTCCTGGTTGAATTATTAAAATAATGCCAGTAAAATAAAACTCAGTGGGTTAAATATCACATGGTTGAATTAATTTAAATTCATTTTCATGTACAAATGAACAACGAGTAAAACATCCTATATCAAACAAATAAGTGTACTTTTTCATCTCAAGATTAAAGGCTGTGCCACAGTAAAATATCATATATAAAGCAGAATCCTGCCGATGATCTATCCTGAGTTTAATTTTATAATAATGAGATATAATTAAGTATAAAGAGGATAAGAAAGAACTTTCACTCTGACCTGGGTAGTATTTCTGGTTTTTTTTTTTTTGTTTGTTTGTTTCTTCCTTATCATTATAAATAAAGTGCTGAAGTTTTGTGCAGTGTTTTGCGTTTTCAGTATTCTCTTCTGCTATTAAAAATTTGTGGCCTCTTTAAGAATTGTAATGCAAAAATAAATAAAAATAAATAAATAAATAAATAAACACACCAAAAAAAATTGTGGCCTCTGATTTTAACTGTAATTTTAACCAAGGCTAAATGTAAGTAATAGGGACTTATAATCTTGGGGGTCTATGGTAGTCACCTTTTTCTCAGTGATTTACAGCGGGCCTTTAGGTGCTAAGACATTCCCTTTGTCCTACATGTCGCATCTTCTTCCATGTGTTGTTTGCATTTTAACTTTGCAGTGACTTTTGCTTTAGAGGATTTTTATGCTGTCTGCTAGGCAGTCTTTAATTTTATAATCTCTGACTTCTGTAAACATTAAAGAGGCTTCTTTCAAAATCAGGATTATAAGAATAGTTGCCCATATTTTCTTCTACTGCAGTGTTTTCATAGATAACTTTTAAATCTTTGATCCATTTGGAATTTATTTTGGTGTAAGAAATAAGTTAAGGGGGTGGGGATGTAGCTCCATGGTACCAGGCCAGCTTAGCATGGGAGAGGCCCTGGGTTTCATCTCTAGCAAAAACAACAACAACAACAACAACAAAAACCCCCCAAAATCTCTCTCTCTCTCTCTCTCTCTCTCTCTCTCTCTCACATACACACACACACACACAGAGAAATGAATTAGGAATCCAAGCTTACTTAATTTGGGGAATAGCTCATATATTGTTTTAGTAAAATGCATTAAGCATACCTTCTCCAATGCTTTGAGATGCCACCTAATCATATATGCATTGTCATGTCCCCCTGCCCCACACAATGGCAGGTTGACTTAGGAGGTCAGAGTGTGGTGCTGAGATCCCATTGCCTCTATTGTGGAGCTTCTGTGGGTTTAACTCATCTGTCCATTTACAGATGCTGCTCAACAGAAGATGGGTTCACATCTGGATTAACGCATTGAAAGTTGAAAATGTCATAAAAAGCAGACGATGCACTTAATATACCTAACCTGCACGGCCCACTGTCGAGTGCCAGCTGCTGTTTCTCATGATCTTCTCGCTGCCTGGGTGCTGCCCAGCACCTCGAGACAGAATCTTTCCCCATATCTCAAACTCAAAATTTGAAGTATAGGCAAATATACCACCAATAATTTTTATGTTGAGCCACCGTAAGTTGGGACCTTCTGTGCATACCCACACCACTTTCTCACATAAAGAGTAACCACAGCTTTGAGTACGAGAATTGGTAGCTCTAGTTCTCACACAGTTTTCATTTTTTTTTTCTTTCTGAGACTGGGGGCTGAACCCAGGGGCACTTTACCACTGAATACACCCCCAGCCTTTTAAATTAATTAATTAGTTAATTAATTAATTTGAGACAGAGTCTCCCCTAAGTTGTCCCAGGCTGGCCTTGAACTTGCAGTTTCCTGCCTCAGCCTTCAGAGTCTCTGGGAATACAGACATGCACCAATGCCCCCCGCTCACAGTCTTACTTTTTAAAGAATGCCTTGGTTCTTCTTGTATTTTTATTCTTCCACATGGGTTTTTAAAAAAATACTTTTTACTATACCCAGGCATTTAATTCATTTATTGTTTTTTTTTTTCTGTATTGATTTTTTTCAAGAAAACAAATTATAAAAGTAACATCTGTTTGCTAGAACAAATTCAAACAATGCAGAACAATGGAGAATACGCCTGGCAACTCCCCCTCCCCCTTTTCCAGAGCATCCCAGCGGGGGCTCCTACCAGCCACATGTCCATTGTCATTTCGGACTTTCTCCTCTGCTTATGCATAAACACACCTCATGAAGTGCCTCCAAAGTACCAGTGATGTTTTGACTAGGATTGCTCAATAAATATTTGGAAGGAAATATCTTCTCTCATGTTTTTGGATTTCAAATTCTGTAATGCCTAAGTGTTTCTTTTCTTTTCTTTCTTTCTTTCTTTTTTTTTTTTTGACATATGCCCTGTTACAACATCACAGAATATCTATACCACAGAATCATGGAAGACAATTTATGATCATAAAACACAGTTTAAAGATATGTCTTTATAGCATTTCTCAAAGTGCATTCTATAATAGGTAGGTCCTGCAAGAGATTCTGCAAAGAAAATAAGTGTTCCTTGGGCTGATGAGTTTGGAAATACTACTTGATATATTTGGGTATTTGTAATTCAGGGCCATCTATTAGAAATGCTGTTAAATCTTACTATAAAGGCTTACCAGTGTTTTCCAGGCTTATTTTATCAGGAAACCTATTTCTGCCTTTTGACACGATGCTCCTAGAACCCAATTTGGGAAATGCTCAGTTAGGCTGATGGAGCCGTTGACTGGGGGTAGGTAGTAAGGAATATAGAATAACTCCCAGTCATCGGGCTTTGATAATGGGTGATTGGTGGTGTCATCAACTGAAGTAAAGAATAAAAATGGAAGATCAGTTTTGGATATATTAAATTTTGATGCCTCTGGGAGGTTGGAGTGGAGATGTTTAGTAAGCAGAGAATATTTAGGTCTGGGACTTCAGGTGAGAGGTCACAGCTAGAGAACCGCGGGTCAGAAAGTTTGCTTTGGATTAAAGCGTGTTGTCTAAAAAGACCCATTTTAAAATGCACATACATTACCTAGGAAGGGTAAGCACTAAATTATTAATACGTATTATATTATCATATTAGCTTCCTATCATTGGAAAGCAGAGATCAGGCCCCTGAAGGGATGGAAATCAGAACTGGTGAATTGTGGGTGGAGGGTCAGCCAAGAAGGGTCTGAAGTGATGATTTCCAACCTCTTGGAATCTGAGGGCTGCTTTTTTAATGTTAAAGAGCCTGCCAACTGCCCCCAGACAGTCCAATTCTCCTAGGCTTTGATGGGAAAAATATGCCCAGGCCAAACTTTCCCAAGTTAACTTTGAAAAAAATCAACCCAAATTTAGTAAGTAATTGAGTCCTTACTCTGCTTCTGACAGCGCTGTGGTGCGTGTGGGTCCTGTCCTCTTGTTGCTCCTGTTTCCAGGCTGAGATGGATTCAGGGAACCCGACATCTCAGGCCTTGGCCAAATACTGTGCTTATGTCAAGGGAGATGATCAGCAGAGGGAGAGGAAGATGACGGCACATGTTTTAAGTCTGTCATCTGCATTCTTTTTATCTGGTTCCTGTTGAAGGGAGACAAGGAGGTGTGCAAAGAAGCAAGTTCTGGCTCTTTCTGTGGGTTTACCCCCACCACTGACTAGGTGACCCCAGAGAACACTTGCGGCCTCCTCTGCAGTAACTCTCAAAATGAGATAATGGCAATAGCTTTTCTTGCCTCCCAGGGTCCTTCTGCAGAAGTCAGTAAGATAAATAGTTGTGAAAGTAAGGAGGAAGGTTAAAAGTACTCTAAAATGTGAGGTATTTTCATGGTTGCATTTTAATATGGCTACCACTAGGTATCCTGAAGGTAGCAATTCCCCGGGAGGGGGCTTAATCATCCGGGCTCACCGTAGGGTGGACTCCATTTAACCTGTGTGTTCCAGTTGATTGGGTTATTGTGTGTAGATTGCAGGAATTTCAAGCTCTATTCCATCTTTTTCCTTTTGATATAATTTTAATGAGATTTCCCTCATTCTTTTATTGCATGGCAGGCGACCGCTAGAATAAATATAAAGAATTTTTTTTTTTTTAAATGCAGGAAACAGGAGGTCTGGGGAGATGGGAAAATGCAGAGGGAGAGGCAGGGGATCAGGGTGGAAGGCTGTTCTCAGATCCGCATGGTCTCTTGATGGCTTTAGAATTCCTGGTGCCCTGCCTTCTGTGCAGCCACTCTGAAAGATAAGAAAAGAGACCTCACCAAAGCCACGGAGAGAAATGTCTTTGTTAATTGCTTCAAGAGTAACACATCCCTCCCAGGAAACTCCATCACCAGGATCCCATCGCTTTCTTTATATTTTACAGGGGAGGTCTGCATACTCCAGATTTCCCTCCTCAGTCAGTGGCTTCTAGGGCGATTCTCTTGAAAGGGAAATTGTGTGGGATATTCTAGGATGCTTAGAATGCTTTGGAGATTTTAGAAGAATATATATATATTTTCATTAGAAAAATCTAAGTCACACATAAAAGCCATCTATCCTGCTGTGAAGGGGGTTCATTAGTCAGTCTTCTTCCTTGAATACTAGTAACTCCATCACTGAGGAGGGCGTTGTTAACCACCAAGCATTTCATTACTCAGGGATTCATTCCGCTCTTCTCCTCTGAAAGTGTGTGAGTGTGTGTGTGTGTGTGTGTGTGTGTGTGTGTGTGTGTACGTGCATGTTGGGAGGGTAGACTAGGGGATCAGAACATGTCACCCTGGCATATGATTTGCTGGGGACCCACCTCCAGGCAGCCACTCCAGATATTATTTTGAGCTAAAGTCAAGTGAGGAACAGCAGATATATAAAAGAAGCTCTCTGCCCTTCACCCTATTTGCCTAAAACAAGGGTAGACGCTTCATCATTGGAGACAACTCTAGATTCCTATCAGCCTATGGAAAGCACTGAGAGGAATCTATACAACAAACTTTACAAGGATTACCTTTATCTTCCATTTATTTTCCCCATATATTTACCTTCCCATGGCTTGCTGCTCCCTCACAGCCTAATCCCCTTCCCCTAACCCTTCCAAATTTATTTGTTCTTTGTGAAGACACTATGTAAGCCCCCAATTCTGAACACCCCCATGAGTTACTTATCACAGAGTTTTCCCCACCTGTATGTGTGCTGCCCATGTTGACTTCCTTGGTTTTTCTCTTTTTAATGTGTCCTCTTGTTATGCTCGAGTTCAGGATCCCCCAAAAGACCACCAGAGACCAAGATCGATGTAAGCAGCAAAGAGGTGTTTATGGCGGGCTAGCTCGGTCCTCTGCACGCGCACAGCAACTGGTGATGCTGAGAGGCCCCGAGCCCAGGGTTTGCAGCAGTTTTATACACTCTTTGGGGAAGGCAGGGACTTCACATACATCATAGCATCTCTTAGCAAATCATCACACACCGCGGGAAAATCAAACAACAACTCTGAAACA